GATCCTATGTTATGACTCGTTTTAGCCAATTTATGAGGTCATACTATACTATGACTCAATTTAGCATGTTTTTGAGGTCATACTATACTATGACTTGTATCCAATTTTTTTGTTCATTTTATAGTATGACTCGATTTAGCGTGTTTTTGAGGTCATGCTATACTACGACTCGATTTAGCCTATTTTTGAGGTCATACTATCCTATGACTCGATTTAGCTTGTTTTTGAGGTCATACTATACTATGACTCGATTTAGCCTAATTTTGAGGTCATACTATACTATGACTCGATTTAGCCTATTTTTGAGGAGATATACTTTAACACGATTTAGCCTATGTTTAAGGTCATATTATACCATGTCATTTTAGGAGATAATTGAGGTCATACTATGACTCATTCTAGCTAAAAAAGAAATCTGACTTTACTTATATATATTAGTAAAAACAATACAGAAAAAAAAGAAACAAAACATATCAACTATCACCCCTTTGAGTATTAAACACTAGAGGGAAAAGATGAGACTTTAAAAGTTTAAAAATGGAAGCAGACAGCTTTATGGCATACGTCACTTCCCCCGTTCTACATTTGTTATAAAGACGGTAGTTGATTCGAGTAAATTTCCCTGAGACACCTTATATTCTTGAAAATTGTGCAGGGTTGATACTCAGGCAATGCGGCACCTTCATGCTGGGATCTTTCTGTGTTTACTGTGAAATTATCAAACGTAGTATTACACTAAAAGCATCAGTGCTGCCACCCTTTGGGGAACTGCTAGTTCCAGAGGTGGTGAATTAGATCAGCATTGAGGCAAAAAACCTCCTAGGGTGGCCATGGCCACCTGAGGCCCGCCATTTAGCTACATCCCTGTTGACTTATTTCGTTCTAAAACGTAACTGATTGTTCAATGCTGACGGAAATCCTTTCCTTTGATAAGAATATTCAGACTATTTTAAAGTGCCTGCCTTGTTAGGTGAACTAACAAAAAACTGTTATGTAATGTTTACTCTAGTCTCTAGTCTTATCCTTCTACTTTTGAGGACTTAAGGAGGAAGACTTGAACATAATGCATGAGTATTAAGACTTTTTATCATTTTTATCAGCCATTGGATATTTACTCCTGCCAACAGAAGGATTTATTGACTTGCTGTTGTTGATAGTCTGTTTTCCTATGTACAAACTAGGAGCCCATCTGTCATGGGAATACTGGTGGCTGAACGCAAGTTCTTTGGCGAGATCGGGAGCCTCGACGGTGGGATGAAAATATACGGAGGTGAAAATGTAGAGCTCGGCATCCGGGTGAGACTTTAAAAAGAAATGCAGTGAATTGTTTTTCTGTGGGGTTTCGAAGGTAGAGTGGAGGGTGTTCTTTTTCTGGGTGGATCATCAAAATAAGGGGTCCTCCTAATGGTCAATCATTCTGGTGATATGTTTACGTAAGGCCATCCTACGTGCTCCTCCACATTTTCAGTTACTGCTGGCGAGTGAGACATGGAGGAAAAATTTCAAATCTTCTTTTGGAAAGTAAGCTTGTATGAGTGATGCAAACTGCAACTTTTAAACAGAGCGTGCACCAGGAGAAATAGGCTCTTGCTCTTTAATAGGCATTCCCTCTCAGGAGTTCAAAAAAAAAATAAAACATATCAACCTGCTTGGAAGCCTTCTTTAAAGTGAGTTTGTGTTTTGCAGGTATGGCTGTGTGGAGGCAGCATAGAGATAATCCCCTGCTCAAGGATCGCTCACATTGAACGCTTTCATAAGCCTTATGCCCGAGATCTGAGCTCCTTCGTGAGGCGCAACGCCTTGCGGGTGGCGGAGGTGTGGCTGGACGACTACAAATACAACGTGGAAGTGGCCTGGAACCTCCCCATTGGCGTAAGATGCATCAGATTATTACTAACATGAGTTCAATCTTTTATCATCAAAAATAACTCAATTAGGTTTTATGAAAGGCTGCTAACTCTTAACCATCAAGCAAACAGCCTCATGTGATCTCATTGAACAGAATCATGGGATAGACATCGGAGATGTTTCTGAGAGGAAGAAGCTGAGAGAGAAGCTGAAGTGTAAGCCCTTCCAGTGGTACCTGGATAATGTGTATCCTATGCTGGAACCAATGAGCGACCTGCTTGGTTATGGAGCTGTAAGTCAGAAACTAAAGCTTTTTACGTTGGGATGCAAGAACCCAAATGTGGTGCAATACTTTTTTCAAATTTAATAAATTAATGTAAAAATTCTCTATATTCATTAAGCAGCCATAACCTTTTGTTCTGTGGAGATCACAGCAGTCTGCACTGGGTGACAAGGTTTGTTTTTGCAGCTGATTAATGACCTCCTGCCTGATCAGTGTGTGGATCGGGGCCCAGTTCCTGGCTTCATCCCCATCTTACATGGATGCCACTTCTTCACCCCACAGGTAATGTGTAGAGCACAGGTGTCAAACCGGTTCCAGAAAGGGCCGTGTGGCTGCAGGTTTTCTTTCCATCCAAGCAATAGCATCAGACTCCAGTCATCTCATCAAGTCTTGTTTAGATTGGAGTCTGATGCTATTGCTTGGTTGGAAAGAAAACCTGCAGCCACACGGCCCGTTCTGGAACCAGTTTGACACCCCTGGTGTAGAAGCTTTCAGCAGGACGTTTGTTGATGGTGGATAATTTGTTTTTCCTGTCCCAGCATTGCCATTACCACACTGATGGGACACTGCACATCGGTGGGTTCAAATCCCACAAATACGACAGCACAGACTGTCTGCTGGATCCTGGTTTAGGAGCTTTACCTGGACTGTATCAGTGTAGAATGGCAGAGCAGAAGAAACTGCACATGTTCTGGGACTTCAAACAGGTAAAAACAATAACTTCTTAAATATGCAACAGAAGCTTGTTTGTTGGAGGGGAACTTAAAGATTTATTTGTGAACAGGGGGGGCAGATCCAGAACAGAGAAACAAAGAGGTGTCTGGAAATCTCAATGCGAGGCTTGAATCTCAAACTGGTTCTTCAGCAGTGCAGTGGTCAGCGATGGAAGCTGCAACATGTGGTCAACATTACGGCACAAAAACTGCACAGTCTTTCAGAGAAACTTGTACTGTAAACGCAAAAACAAGTGGAGCTTCATCCAGGAGGTCCACGGCGACAGCATCCTTCCTCATTCATAGTTCAAGTCAAACAGGATTAGGTGTAATGGGGCAGTCAGGAGTTAGCAGAGATGAAGCTGTCCCATTTGGTTTGCCACATGGTAAAAGCTCTGTCCTTAAGCTCATTGGGCAGCGAGCTGTACCTGCAAACAGAGGAAACGGCTCTAAATGTACCAATCATGGACTTTGCAAAGGAGCAGCTGATTATTGGAGATTTAACTCATGTAGATACTTTAGTTTATGCACACAGAGCAGCTCCTCAGGTCACACCCTTCATCTCTATGGTAATAGATGGTCATAAGTTGGATTATTTAGAATTACAGGAATGTTGCAGAGTTGACTACTCACTGTGGCCTATAGTCTCTATGAACCCAAAAGTAAAGTTTAACCATCACAGCTTGTGTATTTTTAGATATCTTGCAGCCCAATGCTTTGCATAAGGCTGAAAGATATCAGAAAACAGACCTCAAAAGGTGAATTTTCCACACAGGAAGAGAAACATATCTACCACAACAACTGACAATACAATGCTTTTCTTCTAAATGTACATTTTTCTGGAAATAAACAGTTTGACTTGTTCTGGCGTGTTCAATCACTTGATCTGACCTGATGGAGTTGACGACCAGCTCTTTCAGCGTGCCCAGATTTGCCTTCAGCCCTCCGATCCCCACAAAGGCTTCGTAAAAGTCAAAAGAGAGCCCAGTGGTTCCGAACATGGAGGGGTCGTCTGAGCTGATCACCATCGGGTGGCCTTCAGACATCAGCATGGCTGCAGGGTGGTTCCTCAGGTCCGAGACCAGCTTCAACACCTGATGAACATCAGAAACATGAGAACAGGTCCATGTCCTGCTCAGAGATCAGCTTTGATAGAATACCTGGTTAGAAATGGGGCAAAGCTCCACGGCGACGTTGCTTTTTCTAGAAATCTCTTTGGCCAGAGGATGGTGGGCCAGAGCGTAGCCGTGCCCAATGCGGCTGGTGTTGAAGAGCAGAGCATCTAGGAGATTTTGATCTACGTCTGTTCCTTCATCATCTAGACACAAACAAAATCCGTCAACATACTTTGGTTAAACTATGTAGCTTGACTGATTAGTAAATTCAACAAAAATTTTCCCTTTTTATCCAGTAGAACTTAGGAATTTATCAAATAGAAGCCTGATGGGGAAACTAACAACAAAGAGTGAGGTGGGAAATTAAAGCCAGATTACATAATCCCTCTCAGACACTTCATAATTTATGCCGGCAGTGCTGAGCTGAAATACAGCTTCCATTCTAAGCCAATATTTTAACCATTGACCAACAGATCAACCCATAAATGTGCTAAATGTAGCTGTTAATCAAGAGAAGTAAGGCTGAATCAATGAATGGGATTAATACATTATTTAAATTATGGTCAAAGTTAGTTTGTGCAACATAGGTGCTGGTTTTTTAAGAACTAAATATGGATAAACAGAACTGTACATTTTAATGTATATTCATTCAATCTGTGTAAAAATGGTGGTACCTTCATACTGCAGTTTAAAAATAAAGATTTGGAAACTATTTCAAAATGATTTGACGAAGCCAAAAGTTTTAATACTCATTTTAAATCTTATAGATACAGATTTTCTGAATATTTCATGTCAACCAGCTCTCACCACCATGAATTTCCCTCAATATGTCAATCATCACAATAAATAAAATACAGTAAAAGACGACCTGGAGCAATAGGTGATCATCACCAAGCTGCATTTTGATGGAGACGCTGCCGATGTTCTGAGGAGAGCCACAGATCAAACCTTGCTGACCTACAATAGAAGAAGAATTGCAATCCTCCTGGTTTACACCACCAGCGTGGCCAAGGCGCGCACCGCTTTGTCTGACATACGGAAAGCTTTACGATGACGAATGGATGTGCGCTTCGGATTACTCTATTGAGCGAGATTCCAAATTACATACAAATAGGATAGTAAAGAGTTTCTGGATCCCATGAAGGCCATGGGATACATCAAGAAGACCTTCCTCTATGCAGCCGCTGGAACCGAGACAATCTTACGTTACTAAACTGGTCTGTCTCCTGGAAATGTGCAGAACATTCCCATTACTAATTAACTTCACTGTATTAGAAAGTCTCAATTAAGCCAGCCTCAAGGCTTGTATTATTATTACTAGAAAATTCTATGTCTTCAAAGCATGTATTTAAGTAAACATGCAGTAGCCTGAACTGCTTATTTACAATACTTTTTAAAAATACTTTTGCTTTCTGCATTTTAATCCTCTTGTTCCCCGAGGATCTTGTTACATCTAACAAAACAACAGAGCTTTTGAGTTTCAGTCTCGGCATACTTCAAAATGCTGCACAGTTTGGCGTTGTTATTTTTATCTAATTTCTTCACCTTAATTTTCCCCTTCCATTTTACTCAATCATCTGGTACCATCCTTTAGTTGACCGTCTCTGCCTCTGATACAGGCGGACACTACACTACTACATTTTTTTATTGGTTATGAGTAACAAATTAAACACGTCTTGGGCTTATAAAGTTTACTCCTCACATGATTCAGGTAGGAAAACGGATGATGCCATTTTACTACATAGTCAAATTAACTTTACTAAAATGCAAAGGTGTCAAAAGTTTTAGAAGTTAGAGTATCAAATTAAGCTTTTTACTCAAGTAAAAGTGTAAAAGTATCATTTTTAAAATTAGTTAAAGTATAAAAGTACTGCAGAAAACAATGTGAAGAACAGAAGCTTTAAACTTCTTACTGCACCATATTATAGGAACATTTTTCTACAATTTTGGATGATGATTACCTTATACTTAATTTCCTTATTTTATAACTTTGCATCCTCTCTAAAAAGGATTTATTTTGGTATGTCCAACCACAAAAAACAAATTATTTGATGGTTTTTATCCTTTTAAATACCAACAGGACAGAACGAAAATTTGCTCAAAAGAAATAAAACTAACGAGTCTATTTTTAAAATGCAAGGAGTAGAATGTAGAGATAATTGCAGAAAAATGTAAGGGAGAGAAAAAGTTACCTAAAAAATTGTTACTCCAGTAATAATAATAATAATAATACATTTTATTTGAAAGCGCCTTATCACAACACCCAAGGACACTGTACAGGCAGATAAAAACATTAAAAACAGGGAGCTAAAAAGTACAAGCATAAGATGCCACAGAAAACAAAACAGCAAAAAGTAAAGTATAAAGTATAGATGGCAAGAATTTCTTCTTAAATAAAGTATTTGTACTTTGTTAGTTGTCACTTCTGCTTAAACATTAGTACATAAAGAGAGAGGGCAGATTTCTATTGGTAAATGGGACAACTGACAGAGCCGCTGTTTACTTTATAAATATATAAGCTCCCAATGAAGATAGATCCGGGTTTATAAAGACAGTTTTCAACAGGTTTGGAGAATAAAGCTCCGGCCTCAGGATTATGGGGGTGATTTTATATTTAATGTCAAATTTGGAAAGATAGTCTCCAAGTCTAGGTATGGGAAAGCTGGGAAACATCCAGAATATGCAGACCAGTGTGCCTTAAGGAACAAAGTTGAGGGGAAAAAAAGCCTTACTTCATCCTAAAACATAAAATTCAAGTATCTGGTTGGTTGATGTGATAGAAAAACAGAGGATTTCAGATTAACAAACTCTAACGTATATAGCTTGCCATCCACCTCAGGCTATGTTCACTCCCACTTTTTACTTCAATTAGCCTCATCGCAACGACCGCATCACTAGGAATAACACCTTTACAGTGTTTTTGCAGCGCTTTGCTCCTGAACGTGCCTCTACATTGGGATAACATAAATCACTGGTCTTTACTCCAGCCATGTTTAAAGTGCACCAAGCTTTTCTCTAGGAATATTTCATAGGGTGTACGTACGCCTCGGGGCATTGCATATTTACATTTTGGGAGGCGTAGCGGGGGCCAGGAAATTTTTGAAATTTAGACTCTCTGAAATGTTATTTCCTGCATTTTGAGGTAGAATGCAGCTAACTTTTTGTCTTTGTTCAAGCACTACTTTTCTCCTGATTATGGGATGTGTGTTTGACTAGAGGTGGAAATTTGATAAGGAAGACATGAGATAATTTTAGGTACAATATTATGTTTCATAGGTTAATTCAAACAATCAGAAAGTGTAATGCTACGTTCACATCGCAAATTAAACATAAAAAATGCTTCTGCGGCTTCATTTTGATGCTTGTACACATAAAGGTCAGACGCGCCTAAAGAGCATCTTTGATGTAAAGCGTATCCAGATGCTTCTGCTGCTCCTGTGTTCAATGGCAGAGAGCGGCTTTGCAGTATTTGCTGTGTTAAGTGGGTAAAAAGTAGTTTTAATATAATTTTATGCGAGAAACACCACCTGAAAACTTTGTATTCAGTTTTTCAAGATTACGATGCTGCCTTAAAATATTATTTTGCTGTCGGAGGTGAGCAGACCCCACATAGCGATGATGCGCTGTCACTGGGAATCCAGCAGGAGCTGCCTCAGGCAGGTTTTTTCCACTACTGGAAGTAGATGTTAGCGTTGTTCCAGTATATGGTACAAAACTGCAGGCACCACAATAATAAAAGCGAACATATTTTGTTGGACGGTTTCAACATCTTAAGTTAATTTAGGCATTAATGAACAGTTTCCATGGAGTGATCATAGCAATCTGCATCAGCAGCGGTGTTTGTCTCCCTGCCAGCTCCAAGTTCAGCTTCTCTGATTGGTTTATATGGCGCATCGAGCAGCAAAAGTTACATTTTTTCAACTCAAGCATCTGCTGCTTGTGAAATTTTGAACATTTGAGCAAAGTTTCCAGGGAAAAATTAGAGCGCGCCAAAGCTGTACAGCCGAAAAACAATAGGAACAATTTGTCTTTTTTTTGTAAAGGGTACAATGTACACCTGTATGCATTGCTAGCTAAAAGCTTGATGTGAACGCTCCTTAAGGAACAATATAGTCCTGTGAAATTTTCCTTAAAACTGAGAAATCACAGCCAGTGCATCTATAATGCCATCCATCTTGGATGGATAAGCTAGCTGGAAGTACTTGGCTTGGCTGTGTGCATCAATCTAAAATATCTTTTGCTTACCTACACCTTTAGATCGCACACAATCATTGATAAATTAACCCTTAAATAATTTATATTAAGAAACACTGACCTGTTTCTCCTGCATGAAAGAAGTACGGCAGTGATGCCCCCAGTTCAGCTGGCAAGGAAAGGGCTTCTCTGAAGTACCAAAGAGTCCTTCCACTGTTCTCCCTGCCAACCTGCAACCCATACCAACAGGTGAAGGTGGAGTTGTTAAACACTGGTCCGTCTAGGAGCGCACACAGGTTTAAACTGGTCTTACCAAGTCAAATCCTGCTACAACATCTGGGAAGTCCTTTTTCAGCTGTATGGCTTCCGTCACGGCAGCT